CACTCAAGCTACATTTCACTCTATTGTCAGGGAAAGGGAACATAAGAAACCATCTTGTTTAGAAGGGACCATAACGAGGTGAGAGGGTAGGCAACAGAGCTCTGAATCCAAGGAGACACCTGAACTGCATGTTGACACTAATTTCAGGGTTGGCCTATGACTGATGTGAACATGTTGGGCCCAATGGACTAGAGGAGGAAGTGCCATGAAGTTAGAAGTTATTGGGACAACTGAAGTGCAGCTGAGCAGCCAAGGACATAGGGGTTCAAGACCCGTGATGTCGGTGGCTTCAATGACAGCAGAGAGTATTCTATGGCAGCGAAGTCAGTGGTAGCTGTGCTGGTGTTCTGATTGTGTTTTATTTCATGTTACTCCTTCTGGAATATCATTTTCCAGCTTTCCTGTCTATTCTGTGAGCCGCCAATATTCTTCCAATAAATTACTTTTTTATGCTTAAAAAAAAAATTAGATAAATGGGAAGAAGTCGCTTATCTCCTATATAGAAAAATTTCATGTAATTTATGTAACTATTCCTTCAAGAAGCTGGAACTTAATTCTCTACTTCTTGAATGTGGGTTGTGCCTAGTAACTTGCTTAAAAAAAATGTGGAAAGAAAAAACTGAATTTATTTTCAATTACACTTTACATTGAACATTATTTTGTATTAGTCTGGGGTGTACAGTAGAGTGGTTAGACAGTCATATACTTTTCAAAGTATATTTCAAGTACCCACCTGGCACCATACTTAGTTATTATAATATTTTTTACTACATTCCCTGTGCTTTACATTCCCATGACTATCTCATAACTACCCATTAGTGTTTCTTAATCCCTTCACCTAAAGTTCATAAAAAAGGAACTTTGTAGTAGCCTAGCAAATGCTATCTTGGCCAGGTGATCAAAATTCACAGCATCAGTAGTTAAGTCATACTGGTAACATGAATCCTTAATAAGATGTAGTGAGAAACACACCTTTGTGTCCTTCCTTCCAAAAACTACAACCCCGGACTAACCATGAGAAAAACCTCAGAAAACCCAACTCGAGGACATTTTACAAAATATCTCACCAGTTGCCCTTAACATTGTCAAGATCATCAAAAGAAGTCTGAGGTTAGGGAGACATGATGACTAAATAGGTGGGATCCAACATTAATTGTGACAAACTGGAGCACTGTAAGATGTCAACAGCAGGGCAATTAGGTGAGATATATATAGGAATTCTATTTTTACAACATTTTTGTAAATCTAAAAATTTATTTAAATAAATTTGTGCTTTCATACTCAAAACAACTATAGATCTAACCTAATGAGGTTAGACTAAACTTCCTAAATGCAGTTTATTTCCACATAGAATCTGAGGATTTTCCTTAGCCTGAATATTTTAAATCAGACGTATAGCTCAGCTTAAGGTTCTTCATTCATTATAGTGAGGTTATAAAAATGTATGATGAAACAAAGGGAATTTAATTATTTTGTGAAAGGACTCCAGGTGTGGCCTAGTGATTTTTTTTAAAGATTTTATTTATTTATTTTTAGAGAGAATGGAAGGAAGGGAGAAAAAGAAAAACATCGATCAGTTGCCTGTTGTACACCCCTAACTGGGGACCTGGCCCACAATCCAAGCATGTGCCCTGGCTCGGAATCCAAAGCCGCTCCATCCGCTGAGCCACAGTAGGCAGGGCTGGTGTAGTAATTTTGAAGTAGCTCCCAGGGCCACTATTGCAGCCTCATTTTATCTTTGCTCAACAGACAATGCCGGCCCTTTTCAAAGAATTGTATCTCAGAAATGAGTGGCTGTGTTTTCATAGAAAAATGTCTTTCAAATATCCCAATATATCCCCCTTCCTAAATGTTCTCCTGGGACAAATCTTAATGATTCTTAGACATTTGTTGGCTTGGGGACTGTCAATTATTGAGGTCTTACATTATATTCTCAGCACTCCTCAGGACAGGTGCTTTTGTTGTTAACACATTAATTACTTTGGTATGAGATTTTTGTAAGCATGTCAGTCTACCGAGTCAGAATCAAGTATCTGACAAGCACAATTTCTATACTAAAAATATGACAAACTTTATTCAAAGACAGCCTGTTATCTTGAGAAATAAAGTTGATCGAAAGAACCAGGCACCAGCTGTAAGCATGACTGAGGATGTCATATTCCTAGGAGTTATTGATACTCAAGCTTGGTAAAGAGCACTCAGGCCTCCTGGAGGCAAGTAGGCGGTGGTGATTCCTTACCACTTGGGGGGCTGGTTTCTGGCACAATAGTATCGCTCATGCTCATTTATAAGGTTTATCACAAATAACTTACTCTTCTACATTAGAGCAGGTTAAAAATTAGCCCAATATGACCATTTGAATTTCATTTGCTTTCTTGAGGGAGCAAGAAGTGAATGAAATTACACCCATCTATCAGAAATTGTGAATAACTCAGTTTCTCTTTGGCTTTTGACCTTTATTCCCAAATACCATTATCAAGTAGCTGAAAGAAAGGTGGAAAGCCTCTGTGTTTCAATTAGAACCAGGTATATTTTGGGACAAGTCTTTGAACATACTTGTGCAGAGTCACCTATGCGATTCAAATCAGTCTGGATCGCTTGAAAAGCTCTTAAGTGTATCTTGGTGACCCGTGTAAGCGTCACTGAATCCACCAGTTTTCTAGAGTTGACGTTGGCTATATGCCTTCTGTCTTGTCACCAGGTGCTTCCAAAATCATTTCTCTGGGATATCCTAATTCTAACACAAAACCTAGAAGCCATAAAAGGGGAGATTTAACAACTCCACCACATAAAAATAATTTCTGCCATAATAAACACAGTGACAAACTTGGGGGCAAGGGCCAGTAATTTAAAGCTAGTTCATTGCAAGAATAAAGGGGTCCTGCTAACTGGTTAAGAAAAAGACCAAACAATAGAAAAGTGGTCAGTAATCACAGACAGGCAATCAGCAAAATTCAGAGTGTGCAAATGTCCACAGGTGAATCTTACTTCTTCAAAAATAAAGGAAAAAGAAAATACCGGATCTAGCAGAAGTAAGGCCTGCTTGAGTGTGGTTAGTAGGGTAATAATGCAGGTGGAATAATTTATACTTTAAACTTGAACATTTCACCTACAACGTCATATGGTATGCTTGAGTGTGATACTGTTGTTACAGAATTCCATGCTTATGATTTTGTAATAAAAGATTTTGTAATTAAAAAAAGGGGCATTATTTGTGCTGGAACCTGTAGAAGAGGAAACATACAGATTAAAATAGCAAACAGGCACTCTATCACTGAAGAAATTTATTGAATGCCCCAAAGCTTATGAAAAAAAAAAATGCTCAATATCATAGATTGTCAAGGAAACCAAATGAAAACTGTTAGGTAGCCAAGGTGGCTAGGAAAGGACCCAGAGCCAGAAAAGTCCAATTAAGGGCTTTTATTCGAGTAGGGACACTGCAATCTGGCGGGCTGGGTCTGAACTGACAGCAGCCCCAAGGGAAAGGGTAGCAGGGCTTTCAAGGTGTGTAACGGACCCTGGGGGAGGGCAAGTCACCCTGCTCATCTGCTCCAGGTGTCCTGGGTGTCTGCTCTGGGAGTGCTGATTCTGTAGAAAGCTTGGAGGGAGAGGGGAGGGGGCAGTGAGGATTCAACGGGTTTTCAGTGGGATGCCGGCAGCTATGCCTCCATTACTTCTGATGTGGGGGAAGCTCGTGGCCAGGCATACCTTCTTGGTTCAAAGGCAGTGGCTTAGGTCCATGTCCCAGTGCATTCTAACAGAACCACTGCACATAGAATGGTTAAAATTATAGGATGACACCATCAAACAGTGAGGCTGTAGACCTACTGGAACTTTCATATTATTTGTGGGTATGTAAAATAGGATGACAGCTTTGGAAAGTGGCATGTCAATTTCTAGTAAAATTTAAACTATGCCAATCTTACAACTCAGGATATTCTGCTAAATACTTGCTCAAAAGAAACTAAAGCGTAGGTACACAAAAAGGCTTGCACAAGAGGTTAGGTTCATAGCAACTTTATTTATAATAGCCCAAAACTGTAAACAGCCCACAGTCCACCAGCTGTTCACCTAACCCATGGAAAGTTAAACTGTGGCATAGACATACAATGGGACACCACTTAGCTAGGAGATGAAAAGGAACAAAGCTGAAACACGTGGATGAATCTCAGAACTGCTAAAAAGAAAATTTACACAAGAATACATACTTTATCATTCCTTTTATATTTAGTTCTGAAATGGACAAACTCATCTATGGTGAAAACAAAATCTCAACAGTGGGGAAGGGATGATTGAGGTGCGGGAACCAACTGGGTGAAGAAACTGTCTGATGTGATGGAAACATTCCGTAACTTGCTAGGGGTTTGGGTTACAAGTTGTACATCAAAACTCATCAAATGGTACACTTAAAATATTTGCTCACTTCACTGTAAATTTTACGAGGGAAGTTATCAACACGTATGCCCAAAAGCCTGAGTCAAATATAGATGTTTACACCTTTGACACGCATATAAATAGATGAATGGACACAGATGATTAAGAAAATACGGTGAAATACTACTGGTAGACTTGAGGTGATAGGTATAGGCATGCCTATAACTGAACTTTTCTGTATGCTTGAAATTTTAGATTTAAATAAGTGGGGAAGATACATACTAACCGATTGTAACATGGACAATTTAGATCTTGATTGAAACGTTTTTTAAAAAAGGACATTTCAGATATTTGATAAATTAGCATTTTTAGAGAGATGTATACTGAAATACAGATAATACTATGGTTTGGTTTGGCTTTAAAATTAATGAGGAAAAAAATTTTAATGAGGTAAGTGGATGGGGTTATAAGAGAAAAATAGGAGAGGGTATGATGGGGATTATAAGAAAAATGGGAGAGGCTATGAAGAGAATTCATAGAAAAGGAAATCAAAAGCTGAATGTGAAGTGCTACTTTATGAGAGAATACCGTTGTGTGGCGTGTGTGTGTGTGTGTGTGTGTGTGTGTGTGTGTGTGTGTGTGTGTAACCTCTCAGACTGGCAAAGAATAGTGGCTAACACACTGCGTCAGTGAGGCTTTGGGGAAATGAGTGCTTACCCTGCTGGTGCGAAGAAAAAATATATAAACAATTTGATATAAATTACAAATGCACATACTCTACATTATCCTACAGAGAAATTTACGTATGTACAAAATGACAAATTTATACAGGGTAATTCACTTCAGCATTACAACAGCAGAAGACTGGAAACAATTTATATGTTCATTAGTAAGGGACAGGTTCAATTGCATACATCCATACTATACAATCACTTTTAAAAATGAGGAAGGATTTTGTATATTGGTATCAAATGATCTTTAGGATGTATGGAAAAAGGGTACAGAACAGTAGTACAGTATGCTATATATTTTAAAAAGAAATGAAAGTGTCCATTATATTTGTTTACCTAAACAGTATCACTGGAAGTTTACCTTTGAAACTGAGGACAGAGTTGCCTAAGGGAAAGTGGCTGAAGTACAGAATGGGAGGGAGACTGGATCTCTAGAATTTTATATCCTTCAAAACAAATATAAACAATTGAAAAAAGTATCCGTTTATTTTCATATCATCAAGGCTTAAGAACCAAATAAAACCTTTTATCAATAGCCCGGTAATTAAGAAAACCACCCAACAAAAACACTTGGCAAAAGATCTGGACACTTCACCAAAGACAGTGTGTGATATTCAGATATATCAAAAGATGCTCAACATCCTATGAAATCATGGAATTACAGGTTAAAACGAGACCCTACTACACACTTATTAGAAACACTGAGAACACCAAAAGCTGACAAGGGGGAGTTGCTACATGATGCAAAATGGCACAGCCACCTTGCAAGATAAAGTTGAGTGGTTTCTTATAAAACTAAACAGTCTTACCATATGAACCAGCAACTCCACTCCTTGGTGTTTACCCAAATGAGATGAAATGTATGTGCACACAAAAACCTACCTATGAACGTTGACAGCAGCTTCGTACAAACCTCAGAGATTATTTTCTAATCTGATGAATCAGGGACACACTCCATTCCTACTACATTACAGCAATTTTTTTGAAAGCCCCCAGAACTCTACTGCTCAAATAATGCCATTCTGCTCTATCATACAGGTCCAACTAATTGAACGTAAACCCTTTCACGTAATTTAAGGGGAACTCTGAAAACAACAGAATGTTTTCAATCGTAAAATGAATAGGATGTAACTCGGAGAAAACTTCCCTAATGAGAATCTGCTGAGGAGCTGTTAGGGCAGAGGATACCCACAGGGCACGTGGACAAACAAGCAGCGAGCGTCCTTGCCTCAAAATGTCATGTAGGTGGAAGTAGCTTTCTCCCGATTCTTCCTCGCCACACTGCAGATGTAGCAAGGATTTGGAGACTCCTACTCCATGGTCGACTCAGTCTCCTTTCCCACCTGGCAGAAGCCGCCTTCCCCCAGGCAGAGAGGGACAATCCTCTGGCTCTGCTTCCTTCTCCGGTGTCAGTGAGTGCACCCGATCACAGCCTTTAGCAATTTCCTCCTTGGTATATCTACATGTTACTTAACAGCGTCCTCCCTTGCACCTCCTTGAGAAGCAGCTAGCTAAAAGCAGGATATGGGGAACATGGTCCCATCCAGGCCTATTTTCGATAGCTTTACCTCAAAGGCAGTTATAAAGACACAGAGAGAACAGAAAATCACTGTCATTACTTATTTCAATAGCAAATGATGATATACAACCCAGTTCTGTCAAATTTTCAGAAAGAGAACTGTCTTTTGATAGAAATAAAAAATCACTTTTATTCTATTACGTGCTTTTTGCACTTGTCAGCAATCATTCACTTAGTAGCCTAAATTATGAGCAATAGCTTACTAAAGGGAGTATAGAAAAGTACATGAATTCATAAGATGACTTCCCAAAAATGACCTTTTTTATTTTTACTGAGAACTCAGCCACTAAGTGTGACAAGAAGATACACCCTTCCAAGCTGACTCACCACACAACACTTTAAGGCTTTTGCTCTTATCTTTTCTGATATGCAAAAGAAATTCATTAGCTTTAAAATAAATTACAAATGAACTGATTCCTCACCAACCCCAATCCCGAAAGACCTTACAGACTTTTTCCCAGAGCAAATTAGATAGATACCTACTGCTAAAGGGCAAGAGAAAAGATCACATTCCAACAGACCAGACAGCTACAGACACCAGTTCTCACAGCTCAGTACACACATATGAAAACACATTTCCGTCTAAGTAGTAACACTGAAGCTCTTAAGCTGGTTAATTAAGTCACGTCCTTATAGGATGGCAAACACAACTGAAAATTAATCATTTCTCCTTACAATAATATATCAGGATTTGATGTAATAAAAATATATTTGGTTTATCCACACACTCCAAAATAAATACTCTTAGGTAATCTGCAGCCTGAACCAAGCCTTCATTTATTGACTATTTACAGTACAGTGATTTTGTATCTTAGCTGGTAATCAAAGATGGTTATGTATTGAGTGAGAGAAGACATAATCTCTTCCAAATATCACTTCTCCGAAATGAGGGCTAACTTGATTTTAAGAACTAGAAGTGCATCTCCTGGTAACTATGTAGCAGTCGTCACCCTGAGAACAGGAACAAGGCAAATAAAGTATACAGGACTTTGATTCTCCTACACAGGTGCACATAAAATTAGTTTATTAAAGACTACATTTTGAAGCCAGCCATTTTGATCCAATATTTAAATAACAAGCTGTTTAATATTAAAGCAGAAGGTACTGCCACAATGTGACAGAAGTACAGTTTTATCCATAAACCCTTCACACAATTATACATTAAATGCTATTTTTATTTAAGCAAGGCACCCCTACTTGTTCTACGACATGGGATGTGCTACCCCACTGAAAAGCAAAGGAGGGGACTTAGATGGTTTCCTATCTAGCGCTGGTTTAAATTCAAGTGAAGCCATCGATTTACCAGTAGGGACTGTTTTGACACATCACTTCACAGCTTTGAGACTTAACACCCCTAATGTTTACCCACAACCAAAAAAGGGGTAGGGGATGGGGGCATGTGTACAGACAACTTCTAAGCTGAGACTAGAATTCCCTCCTGAAGTTCACAGGCACTAATGTCAAATGCCAGTAGCACAGGCTTAGAAAGGCAAAACATTTCTAAAGATATGAAATGACCAAATAGGTGTCATTACACTCACTAACCTGTGGTATTTATATTTTTGTTTTGAATCCTGTTTTTCTTTTTAATTTCTATCTCTAAGTCATCAAATACACCTAAAATTTTAACTACTCTGCCAAACCATAGAGGTTCAAAGGTATGAAACCTTTCCTTGCTTTGGTGAGTATTTGGTTAAAATAAATGAGTATTTTATTCCATAGGAAGTTTTATATCACAGACCTCAAACAAATCATTTTTAAAATGAGGGAAAGGTTTTAAAGGACAGTGCTGAATAAAAATATGCAGTCTTCACATTGGGTAATGTATCCTCTATGAAAACAAATTATTTAATCATAAAATAAAGACCAGATTTTTAAATCAGATCCTATCCTGGACAGCTTAAACAAAATTTAAATGTGTAGTTTATTTAATCCCAAAATGAATCTTTCCTTTTTCTTTCTAAACAGTCCACTGTGGAATTTTTCTTATAAGCAATTAACCCAAAACCCCCAAATCCTTTGTCAAGCAGTGGCTGCTAAAAAACTGGAACTTTATATCCCATATCCAAGAAAGATGTGCAAATGAAATGCTTCTTGCTTCATCCTGAAAATAAAACAAAGTATTGCAAATTTACTAAAAATGAAAAAGTATTAAACATATTCCTATACCATTTAAAATAAACTCAGTAATTTTTTTTTCTTTCCAGTTTCATGCAATTTATCTGACAAATCAATTAAGTTGAGATAAATAAAATTAGTTAGGCATTAATATTTGCAGCATGGTATGAAGGTAGGAGATTTTTTAAGTTGAGCACAGGATACATTTTACACAAATTTTAGCTAAATGTAAATATTAAATATCATGAGATTGTGCAGCTTCAGATCCAAAAATCACTCATGACAACCATTATAAAGAAATGCCCCATGGGTTTTGAAGAAATCATTACAGTTAAGTGTCTCAAAGGAAGGCAAAGAACCACTATAGGTGGGAAAATGATTACAGTGAAATATATTAAAAGATTTTATAGGGTAACAAAGATACCACATAAGATTTGGTCATGGTAAAAGACATTAAGACACATATTTAATAGATTTGTCACAAGTAAGTTAACTCTATGAAATCATGTCCTTCCATGTCCTCTATGAAACCATTTTCATAACACCATTTTAGGAAAACAAACAGTGGTACATTAAGTATGTATGTCACTGATACAACCTGGTTTCTAATGTATCATTTTAAACATCTTAAAAATGTTTTAGAACTGAGGAAATGTGTTTAAAATTGTATAGAAAAAAAAGGATGCAAGCACATTTCCAGTGTATTAATCTATAGTTACTAAAGGTGAAAAATTATTTTTAGGTACACAGAATGATTAATGTCTCAAGATGCAAAAAGATTGTTTATGGGGAAAATACTCAAAGCCACTACACTATCATAATGAATTATTTCCCAGGATAATTTCATTCCTTGTATTGATGCTTCAATTATCATGATTAGTTTTATCTTTATTAAAGAGAATGGTTTCCAGCATTATTACAAACTTGTATGTTAATAATTAATCAATAGAAAATAATTTCCACAATTATATCTCTTAAATTTACCTTATTATCTGGAGTCCCTGGGAGTCTTATTTTCCCTTTGGACATGAATTCAGGAACAATTCAATATACCTATGTTCTGAGAATGACCAAAAAAAGAGACTTATTTCAAAAAGCTGAAAGGCAGAAATAATATTGTAGCCATTCCTCTCGTTGTTCAGACAGAAACTCAAACCCTTTCCCCATTCTTTTTCTTAAGTGAAATAAAAAACAAAATTAAAAAATCCTAACTCTAGATAGAAATATGCAAGATAATCAGCAAATAATGCTTTTCATTATAGTGTTTCATCCTTTTTAAATTTAATTTAGTAGAACTGATAAGAGTATAATTTTCCCAAGGAAATACTCCATAGACAAAATCCAAAACAGAAAAAGGCATTTGTGAATGAAGACACACATCAAAAAGGACAGTGAAATCCGCAGGCAGCACTTACGGACGTGGGACCGATCCTTGAGCATAGCTGCAACGGCATCTTCGTGGGTATCGAAGTGCACATCAGCTTCTCCGGTGGCCTTCCCACTGGAACTGTACTCCATGGTGATTCTAACAGGCTTCAGCGGAGCAAAAAACTAAACAAAGGAAGCCAAAAGGAACACTGGTACTAGGTCCAATTTCTAGAAGTTTAGTGGTTCTGTATTTTTCTTTCTGATCCTGATTCATACACTTTGATTAATTGGCTTTTAGGAAATCTCTTTAAGCAACGAAGTAGTCAGACAGCTACAACCTTCTCTAGCTTTTCTGATTTTCTTAGAACTCAAGGTTCATTTCAAATGTCTGTTCACAGAGAACTTAAACTACAAATATAATACTATACAACAAAGAGTTCTCAATTTTTTTATACCAATAAAGAACACTTTCATTATTCCTCCCACACACATCCTTCTGTTTCTAAAGACTCTCTTCTCTATCAAATATATTTTATTTCTTAATAATTCACTTTTACCATTTTTCCATCACGCATACACCTGCTAACCAGCTTCTTATCAGCACTACATAAACACACAGAGTGGTTAACATCTCAAACCAAGGCAACAAAATGCAATGCTTTACTCACACTGCACAACCTTCATTTAGGTTAAGATCTGGTACCTATTAGGGTTTTTGAAATCATCAAGAGAACTCTGAGGCCCCACTGCTAACTGAAGTCTCCAGGTTTGGATCTACCTTAAGTTTATGTCCTCAAGTTCATGAAGTCAATAAGGGCTTTGTTGTCTTATCTTTTCATTTCATACAGTATCTATTATAAAATAAAAATATTTTAAACATTCCTTTTCTCAAAAGTTAGGGAACCGTAATGTGAGAAGGCTGCACGGTCCGATGAAAGCACCAAGCCTCTGAGAGGGCTGAACTCCTGTCTAGTGGAGAACCGGCAAATTCCCCTGGGGCTCAGGCTCCTGAACTCAAAACTGAACGTGGTGAGCCATTTCTGAGAAAAAAATCAAACTTTCTTCAAATAAAAACTTACAACATACTATTTTGCATCTATAAAATCTTCTTATCCACTATACATTTCACCTTAATATGTAATGTCCATACTTTTCAAGTTAAGACAATGAAACAAGCCTCCACAACCACAGAGATGCCATGTGACTGTCCAAAGATACTCCAGAAATACTGTGCTTTCTTCTCTATCTTCCCAAAACTAACAGAAGTTCAGCATTAGAACTTTCATTCAAACCTATTGAGATTGGAATCTTACTGCCACATACGTTTATAATGTCTTGGGCATTGGCTTGGAAAGGCAATCCTCTCATGTGAACACAATGTAGTGAAGAGGAGGTTCCAAAATCAACAGCCTCTGGAAGCTTTTCTGACATCTCTTTAGGCAGTTCTGAAAAGTGGAACAAAGGGCACTGTCAAAGAGCATAAAAGCTTCAAGAGTTATTAAGAGATTACAATTAGGTGTGACCTTTATGTCAAAAATCTTCCAATCCTCTTGAACCATTAAGAAGGGCTTTACTTTTAAAAGCCAAAATGATCTGAAATTTCTGCCACCTTAAGAATATCACCTGAACACCTGTAAGAATTTGGTGCCTCAACCCATTACCAGATTACAAAAGGACATTTTTCTGTAATAATAACAGAGAGAAGTAAAAATGACTATTAATGAAAAAAATAAAGGAAAGACTAACTTTCTGGGTTATAAGCAAAAAGAAGGGAGGAGAGAATGAAGGAAGGCGGGGGGAGAAAAGGAGGGAGAGACTTAACAGGGTAATCCCAGGGCACCGATTTCAAAAGAATTTATCAAACTTCAAAGATTCCAGATGTTGCTCTGGAGTTAGGAATCAATGAAATACCTTAAATGCGGAAGTAAACAAAACTCCTTACTTCATTACTGCTCTCTATCCGTGTGTTTTCCCACCTTAGTCTAAATGTTGACATTTTACTTCCTTTTGATATATTTGTGCCACCCAGTTTTTCTGATACAGAATCTACAAAAATTATTAAATTTAAAAATCTTCTGCACATATTCAAAGTGCATACTACACTCAAAGACATTAAATATTTAACTCAATTCCCTTGTCTGATAGTCTTACAATTTAATACAACATGGTAAAAAAAAAACTTTTTTTAACAAATATCAAAACATACAACACAGACCTAATAAGTCTCAACAAGTGGCAGTTCCTTACCTATTTCCTTCTCACTTTCAAAAGCTGTCATAGGTCGAACATCCTCATTTACTTCGTGTTCTTCAAAGACCACTTCTGGCTCAGTTATGTACTTAGCAGTAGGAGATGCCATTTTCTTTCCCTTATGAGACCCAACATATGTTCGAACTTCATTCCTTCTGCTTGGAAATATCTCTATATAGCTATGTCAAAGCAAAAGAGAACAGGCACAAATGGTGCAAAGTAACTTTACGCTGCGCTCATTTAAAATAAAACATTTATATATAATATTTCCAACAGCTTAATGAAACACAAGTGCCCCAAGTAATAGGTGTTGTGGGGCGGGGGGGCGGCGGGGAAGGGGGGCAATACTCTTGACAGAACAAATCACTGATTTAATTTACCCCAAGATAAGTTTTCTTCATATACCTTTTAACAGTATTTTCTACCGTGTTTGCCTCATGAGAACAACTATACTGAGATTAACTGTGTATATGCAAAGAATTAATCTAGTACGAAGAGTTTTATATTGAAGCCTTAAAATTCAATTCTTTGAAAATTAATCATATCAGTATAAGATATTAAAAGTCACAGTATATGAGGAGCTAACTTCCTCCAGAACTTTGCTAACAGTCCAATGAGAATTCATGAACTAAATGTCAATTCTGATCCACTTGGCAGTGAGTCTATCTATTAAATCCAAGCTTCTGGATCCAGTTTTCTTTTCTCAATACTGCTTTTCCAAATCAGGTTATTAAGATGAATTGTAAAAAGTATTTATATTTACAGACCTATAAAGATTAGATGGGCAGCATTTTTTAAATTTATTGAAGAGATTTCTATACTGCCTTAACATTCTCACAGAAAATAACTGACGTGTTCCAAGATACATTATAATATGAAATGCGCTGAACAAAATGGGGAGTGGGGGGAATGCTTTGCATATACTTTTTTCACTTAAAATTTAATAAAGACCTCTGAGCCAATTCTGTAAGTAATTCTGACAATGGCTTCAGAATGGCCTTTTTTTTAAAAAAATTTCAAAGGAGTCAAGTAAAAGGCCAGAAAGCGACAAAAAAGCAACTTAAAATTTGATGCTTTTGAGTACTCCTCCAAATTAAAGGTAAAACACAAAAGAAACCACCCATTACTATTTGCACCCTAAGGTGATACAACATACAGCATACAGAATCATCTCGCAGGGGTGACCAAACTTTTGGCATCTCTGGGCCACACTGGAGTAAGAGTTGTCTTGGGCTACACTTTAAATACACAAACACTAACGAAAACTGATGAGCAAAAAAAAAAGGTTTAAGTAAATTTACGATTTTGTGTTGGGCCGCATTCATACCCATCCTGGGCTGCATGTGGCCCATGGGTTGGACACCCCGATAGACTATCCACATCAAAATGTTAATCTGAACCAATTCAAGACTTTAGCCCTAACTCCCAGTTTTCAAGGAGTAATACAGATACAAAGGAACACATTAAATGACACCATGAGGAAATAGTAAGATAAATATAGTACGTGAAACACTGTACAGGACAATGGACCCAATTTCTTCAAAAGCCAACAACATTTAAAAAGGGGAAGGGAATAAAAAAATAAAGAAGGGGATTTGCTCTACTTTAAAAGAACTGTAGACATAAAAATCAAATGCAGTGTGGACTGGTGCAAAAAAAAAAAAAAGACTGTAATGACATATTAGGTATAACTAAGAAAATGTGATTATGGACAGGCATTAGATAATAAATTGTTGCTAATTTTGTTAGATGTGATAGTACTGGGATCATGGAAGAAAAAAGTATTTTAAAGATGCATACTGAAATAACAAAGAGCAAATTAACACGTCAATAATTTGTTAATAGGCATTTGAAAGCCCATCATAATATTCTCTCTACTTTTTTGTGTTTCGATCATTTGATGTCACATTACAGTGTAGTCATCAAAATGACCCAAGGATGGTACTCCTGCATTATTAGTATCTGCTTTACTCACCGGTTACCAATTTCTTCCCTGTGTTTCAACAGGGCTTGGTTGGCCATTTCTGGTTCTTCAAACTGCACATAGGCTTCCCCTGTTTTCCTTCTCCCTCTGTAGTCCATCACAAAAGTAATGTCTACTATATTCAGTCCTAGGACACCCAAAAATTTTCACAAATTAGTGCTGCTAACGGGAGCTTTTTTTCATCCTTAAAATTAACAGTCATCCACATACTAATATTTTTACTTTAGCAGTAAAATTTGGGAGCTGCTCTACCAATCCCAGAGCCAGATACATGCCTAAACTGGAAGAAAATTAACTATGTAGCCCAAACCAGCAACACCTATACATCTATAGGCAGAATGTTTAGGGTCCAAGCATTTCTTACACAATTCTCTTTCTCTCTTTTTTTGCCATTATATAATAGGGGGAAAAGATTTTGACTAACATCACTACTAACGATGCAGGCTTTACAGCTAAGAATTAAATGATAATTCTATTAAATCATATAAATTGTTACTGTCTTAATATAGACACTGTTATGAGAGGATATTTCCATCAATAGTAAAATAAACCCACTTGAAATCTGACATCCTGATCACCATGCTAGGTCAAAACACTTATATAATTGATAAATAATGGAAATTCGAATGAAGAGCTCTCCCCAAAAGAACTTAATAGAATACAACTGCAGGCAGTTACCTAGGAAAAGGTTCAGGTAAGATAAGAGACAATCGGGGGGAAAGATATGAGGCCCAAACATGATAAAACTGAAAGGCACCTGCAAAGAAGTCTACAATGTCTTTCTCGTTGCAACTATAAGGCAGTCCTCTCAAGCGAACCACACCATCATTTACCACAGGGGAAGATTTGACCTGCAGGCTCTTCATTAAGGCATCCACATCTTCATTGTTTATCTCATATACTACAAAGCAAAAGCACAGAAAGTATGCCAAATTTATGCAACAAAGAAAGCCTTGAAAAAATCATACTTGCTGGGATATCCAACAATTGAAAAACTAGTATGTTTTCATCTTTATGTATTTCTTTGGAGAAAATAACAAATGACATTTATTGATATTTACCATGTGCGAGGAGTCCCCCATTTAAACAGCACAAATTGTGAGGTAAATTCAGTCAACATCTTCATTTTATACATAAAACACCCTTACAGATTGTCTTATACATAAAAGACAATCTCTGCGCTCCTTTTGGCACCCCGTAAAAGGGTGTGCATAATACCTAACTACTTCGCTATTGCTAAGGAGGAAATGAAAGTGCCTTGGAAAGTATAAAGTCTAATGTAACGATCTTGAAAAGCCACAAGGTGACTTCACGTACCTTCCACATACCGCTGCCCCATGTACAGGCGGTGCTTTTCTAAGGCTTTCTGCACATCCTGCTCTGACTCCATTTCAATTAAGGCATCACCCCTTCGCTTCCCATCTCTATTTAAGAGGAAGTGTATTCCATTCTCGCCGTTGCGAATTCTGCAGTCTAAAAGTACGTAAGTAAAAATCCATTAAAACCAGAAATCAAACTTTTATCTCAATTCTACAAGTTACTGGAATGCAATCCTCCAACAACACAACAAAGCGTTGGGAACCAAAATGCCTGCCATATTCCTTATACAAACCCCCATCATTCAAGCCATCCAAATGCCAATGTGGTGGTAGTCTCTAAAACAGCCCATGTGAAAAGAATAGGCAAACTTTGTTGCACATGAGCTTATGATCTTCTGATCTTCAAGCTGGGCTCAACCAAAAAAACTGTACTACTACGCCCTTCCCAAAGCTTCTATTGTTATGTTCATGCATAAGTGTCTTTTGTCAAAATCATAACCAGAAAAACTCTAAAATATCTCATAAAAGAATAATTTTGCTACCATAATTTAACCTTTCCCCACTTTTTGTTACTAAGAAAAGACATCCTCCTATTGCATACTTCTTATAATGGGAGCAAGTAGAAGATGGAAATGACTTTATAAAATGCTTGACCACACAATGCTATGCACATTAAGGTACCTAGTACATGTTAAATTGTTTTTTTAACCTTTAAGGTAGCATCTTCTAAAATTTATAAGGAAAATTAAAAATCAGATACAGAGACAAAAAATAAAACAACCACAGATATATAAACCTGCTTCAGACACGCTACTAAGGCAACTCTGTCACTTAATACTAAGTGATCTTGTATTCTAAATGTATGTATTACATAAAGATCTCATAACCCATATTTCCACTAATAGGTCTCTCTTTTTATCTTTACATAATAAAACATTAGAGAAAACTGGCTTTATTAAACTTTAGTCCAAGCATTAAATTTTGTCATTTTAACATTAAACATTTTCTTGCATTCAGTCTTTAAATTGGTATATATCACAAATGGTACACACATAGTGTCACTTTATACACACATGTAACCAGCCAGATGAGACAATTCTCAACCATCAAATAACATATTTACAGCATAGTTTAACTTGGATTTTGTGGGACTATCATTTACTCAGACAAAATTACCTATTTAAAACATACATAAAATATACCTGAAAAAAAGCTAAGCACATCTTCAACAGTGCACGACCATGGTAATCCTTGAGCTCGAATGAGATAAACATCATCCACTTCCTCTCCTAACTTGGATGGAGCCAATTCATACTCAGGGAGAGGTGGAAGGTCTTCCAGGTAGGTAGTTTTAGACTCCTTCCAAAAGAAATAAAGAAACATAAAAGTATTTTTTTGACAACCTACTTAGAAAATGTTTACTTCTGCAAACTAATGCTCTGGATGTTATTCTTGGGGACAGTTACTATTTCAGAGACAAGAAATAAGCTTCACAAATCAAACTCATCCTGTTTTGGCTTAAACTGCGCATCCTAAAGCAACAAGCAGGTATATCTTAATGGTTTGGCAAGACACAAATTTTATTCAGGACTTGTTTTGAAATTCTTCAGTCCCAAATTACACCTAATAGCACTTCTGTTAAGGCAGAACAAGAGGGGTTCCTTCAATCTGACAAATATGTGAGTGCCTCCTACTTAAAGTGTGCCATATTATTAGGCCTTTATCTCAAAAAGTTTACCATCTAGACTAAGACAAGCACACAAGATGAGATGCTTTAAGTGCTTGATGATACAAGACATTATAAGAATTGAAAATAGAGCACTAACAGAAGAATCAAGACATGGTATGAGATGGACACTGAAGGATAGACTTCTGACAGCGACATATAGCTCAATGTGTCTCCTTAAACTGGTAGGGAGAGGGGAGTTAGTAAAAGACATTTAGAAGTGGATAAATGAACAAGACAGCGCGATGCTTGGAAAGATTTATCTGTCAACTAGTATGTCACACCAACTGAATAGGAAAAAAATAAAAGGCAACAGCAATTGTGTAAGATAACAGGAGCCTGAGACATATCTAAAGAACTCTATTTTACAAAACTAAGCAAAAACTGGAATTTAATGAGTCCAACAATCACCATAGCCATGACACGGAAGACAACTCGAGCATTAAGATTTGCACTCTACTGGGCTAAGGAAAGAGATTCCTCTGTACTTGCACTATTTACACGAAGACTCATGTCTAATTCTACGGAAACAATGATAAATGTAAGCCTCTAGCAGAGGCCTAATACATTTTTAATAAGAATGCAACTAGCACTACAATTAACCTTGGAAGACAGCTCAGGTTTTAAGACAAATGACTTGCACTTCACCGGGCTAAAGAGAGATACTTCACTCCTTTGTGTGTTCCCATCATTTTCATGAAGACCTACATTTAATTTTAAGAAGTCAATAACAAATGTAAGCACAGTGCATAACACTAGCAGAGGCTCAACAGTTACCATTATAGTCAATTTCTCAGGAAAAAAAAAAGAGAGTAGCCAGAGCACAAGGGCTTATTAGAGATAGTTTGTTTTTTAATAAAGGCAACATTCCCCAATTTCCCAGAATTCCATAAATATCAGAAGCTTTTACAGAAAAGGGCAGCAAAAAGCATTGGGCCAGGATTCAAGTCAATTAGCTCAGCCACTGGCAGACAGCAGCCATGCTGATTAGCCTCCCAGTTTGCCTAAGTTCAAGGAGAAACACAAAGTGAATTAAAATAAATATGAACCCAAGGCATCAGGAATTGAATAGTCGAAAAGCGTAGTGACATTTCCCAGATGTCATGTAACGAGCAAAAAGGTTCCTACAAGGCACAAAATAGTTGCCATCTGAGTTCTTGAAGCACACACTGACTTTAAAAAAAACAACACTGTAAACCCACTCCTAGATCCCCAAATCGTGGCCTAGACGCCCCCACTCCTCGCTCCCCTCCCCGCATCTCCGTCTCCAAACTGGCGAGGATGAGTGACCCTTGGTCGAAAAGGACCTTCTTTCTGTCAGAGGAAGTGGAGGTGCAGAGGTGACCTTCAGTAATGTGGGGCAGCCCGCCTTCCCCAGCGACAGTAGACAGAGCAGCGTCGGGGACGAGCCTCCTCTCCCACAAATCTAGCCCACGCAACTGCGCGCGTGAACCTTCACAGCAGCGGGCCACGCGGCGCGCCGAGGGCCACCCAGGCCTAATGCTCTGGATGCGCGGAAAGTCCCAAAGCTCCGCGCGGGCTCGGCCTCCCAACTTCACAACCTGCGGCCTGGGAGCGACAGGGATGCGGAATGGGGGCGGCAACGGCCTCGGGAAACCTACCATGGGCCGGCAGGAAACAAGGCCTCAACATTCACCCCCAGCCACACTTACACTGCCCAACCGACCAGAGCTCAGAGGAGAACAAAACAAGGAGAAAACCCGTGGCCGGGGGAGAGCGTCCCTTGTTCCGAGGCCCAATAGGACTGGGCAGCAGGGGTGGGGGCGGGTGTGCGGCGCCAGCCGCGGGTCCCGGGCCGCGCACGCGAAGCGCACGCGGAGGAGCGCGGGTACGCGTACGCGCGGCGCCCACGTACCTGGCTGTAACCCCGAGCCGGGCCCGCGGCCGCCGCCAGGGACTGCGGCAGCAGAGGGGCGCGCAAGGCCGGGTAAGACGCGGCAGCCGCGGCAGCGGCGGAGGCGGCCGCAGTGGGAGGCCCCGCCAGTCTCCCGGTGGGCCCAGGCCCGGTCTGGAGGCCCCGCGTCTGTGAGGCGGCGGCCGCGGCGGCCCCGAGCAACAGCAGCAGCCGGCGGCGGCCCGAGACGCCCGAAGGGAAAGAGCCGGCGGCCGAGTAGAAGGGCAGGCAAGCGGCGCCTGTGCGCCGGCAGCTGCTGCAGTTGCAGCCGCAGCCCCGGAGCAGCGCCCCGAGCACCCAGCGCGTCCCGGCCATGGACTCCGGAGGCGGCGCGGGGCCTGTAGGCGGCTGCGGCTGCAGCGCGAGCGGAGGGGAAGTGGAATCCAGGGCCGGGGAGGGGCGCCAGGCACATGCGCCGCGGGCACCCGGGACAGCTGCGAGTCGGGAGGAGGTGGAGGAGAGAGCGCAGCTCCGCCCGGTCTCCGCCCTCGGGGCGGGGCTGCCTGAGGCCTGCAGGGGGCGGCGGTCTCGGGCACGACAGCTCTCCCACTAGGTGAAATCTGAGGTCCGGAGTGGGCAAGGTAAAAAGCTTGCCTGCTTTGGAGACGGCCCAGACTTGGAACGCCGGTCTGTGGACTCCCCGTATGGCCCCCACACCCCCTCCGAAACGCGTGACGTGAGGGGCAAAAAGGGCTCCTTCTGGAAGGAATTGTGGTACTCTGCTTGCAGAAAGATGTTGGGGCAAATGGAAGAGGCTTGCTAGCGCCCGCTCTTGAGATATATGTAGAAGGCCAACTTTTAAAATGAAATAGATACTTATACAATGATTATATGTGCATATTACAAGGGTAAAGGCTCCCTTAATGAGTTAGTGTATTCACAAGTGGACAGGCAAAGGTTTGCAAAAGACCTGGTTGTGCAGTTTTCTTCCTCTTGTGGCTGGGAAACGTCTCACAGTAATAGGCAAAAGGGAGTGCGGAGAGTGAAGAATAGAAAAAGCTAAAATTTTGAACTTTTTATTGGGAAATCTCAAAGAAAAGCTTGATGAAGTTATAAAACTTAAGGAAATACCAATACTTTAAAAATCTTGTTTTTATTTATCCCCACCGCCACCTCCCAAACATTTTTTCTTTGCTGAACTATTTCAAAGCAAACCCCAAGGACCACAGCAATCACCCTTTCAGTATTCCTCTTAACCTGATAAGGACTTCGAGAGAAACACAAACAAAAACACACGATACTCAGATTAGTTGTTTTGAAGTATTCAAGATTATTGAGTTTAAGTTTACTATGGCCTACTTTTAGGAAAAGGAAAGCTGGGAATTCCTCTCTAAACTCCCCACCAAACAAAAGCAAAGAACAAGAAAACATCAGATTCACTTGGCTTGTGGACCTGGAGTATCAAAGAGAAGGGGACTTCTCACCTGCAACATTTAGAAATTTTAGAGATTTTTTCCCCGTAAATCTCCTCTTAAGAAGGGAAATGGGTTATCCCTTCCTAACATTATCACTATAAATCACGATTTGTGGACGTATTAGGGATTCTGCCCATATTTACTCTTGCCTTCATTTTCTTAATAGCTGAAGTCGTCATCCATAATGTGTAACTCTTAAGTTGGAAATCTAAATACATAGCATGAAAACTTACAGATTATAATCAGAAGTAAATGCCTAAGTATTTAAATTGAAAGTTGTTTTTGAATTAACTTATAGTTGACAATTTTATATTGGTTTCAGGTGACTGAACATGGCTATACCTACAATGTGATCACCATGATAAAATCTAGTAACTCTCACCATACAAAATTAAAAGGGAGAGTATAAGAGAGAAAAGAAAGTAACTTTGGCACTGACTCATGTGGCTTGGTGGGTTGGGCATCCTTCCGCAGACCAAAGGGTTACCAATTCGATTCCCAGTGAGGGCACATGCCTGGGTTGCTGGCCAGGTCCCCAGTAGCAGGTGCAAGAGAGGCAACCACACAATGAAGTTTCTCTTCCTCTCTTTCTCCCTATCTAAAAATAAATGAATAAAATCTTTAAAAAAATGTTTAAACTAACTTTGAATAATTATTCACCCAACAAACACATTAAGTGCTCTTTGTGTTCCAGGCACTGTGTTGTGCCGTGTGCATTCAGGAATATAAAATAATAAGCTTACAGGCTAAATAGCAAAATGATGTTTACATTTGTTTATGTCTAGATTACATGTAGAGAGACTAGGAAATTTGTAAATTAAAATGAATGCCTTATGGAACACCAGGCTTCAAAATTTGTACCAATAGCCCTGGCTGACATAGCTCAGTGGATTGAGTATTGGCCTGCAAACCAAAGGGTCGTAGATTCGATTCCCACCAAGAGCACATGCCTGGGTTCTGGGTCAGGTCCCCAGTAGGGGGCGCACAAAGGCAGCCACACACTGATGGTTCTCTCCCCCTCTGTCTAAAAATAAATGAATAAAATCTTTTTAAAATGTTTAAACTAACTTTGAATAATTATTCATCTAACAAACATATTAAGTGCTTTTTGTGTTTCAGGCACTGTGTTGTGCCCTGTGCATTCAAGAATATAAAATAAGCTTACAGACTAAATAGCAAAGTGATGTTTACATTGCTAATGTCTAGCTTATATGTAGAGAGACAAGCAAGTTTGTAAATTAAAATGAATGACTTATGAAACACCAGGATTCAAAATTTATATTAATAGCCCTGGCTGGCATGGCTCAGTGGATTGAGTACTACAGGCCTACAAACCAAAGGGTGGCTGGTTCATTTCCCAGTCTAGGGCACATACCTGGGTTGCAGGCCAGGTCCCCAGTAGGGGGCGCGCAAGAGGCAACCACACATTGATGTCTCCCTTCTTCTCCTTCCCTTCCTCTCTCTCTCAAAATAAATAAAATCTTTTTTAAAAATTAAAAAAAAATACAATTTGTATTAGTAAATATTATTTTAAATCCAAATAACTAGCAGTACTCTTTAGTGCTAAATTTTTATTATGGAAATAAAAAGACTCTTGAAAAAAAATTTACATTAGGAGACTTTTTGAATACAATGGGGACAATGGAGAAAAAGAAGATTTGACAGATACATACACACACACACACACACACACACACATGCTAGAATCAACAGAATTTGAAGCTAGCTTAGAGAGAAAGATGGTGTTTTCTGCTATTGTTACTAGGAGTTGGGAGGGATGAATGGGGATGACTTTTCATCCCTGGGAAAATTTAGAAATACATATATATTTAAAGCAAATCAACTCCACTTTGTGTCAAGGCAGAGAAATACTCATTTGGGTGTTGTCAGTATAAGTGAAGCTGCTGGTTTGGATGCGATTGCTTGGACAAGGTTAGAGTGAGAAGAAAAAAGGCATAGAAACAAATCTTGAGGTACCACAACATTGAAGCCCTGTAGAGGAAAATAAAGTTGCAAAGAAAGAAAGGAGCAGCAAGAGAATTAAGAGAAAATTAAGCAAAGGCAACAGTGTTTCCAGAAGGACATAGGGAGTATTTAACAGTGTCAAGTTCTTGCTAAGATCAGTAGTTGTTCAGCAAGTGAGATGAGAACAGGAAAAAAAATGTCTTAGTAAATTTAGTGATATGGGAAGGCTTCAGTGATCTTATCCATAATTGGGGTAGTAATAACAGAAGCTGGAATAAAGCAGAGGTGAGGAACTTGAAGTAGAAGTGCAAAATAAGTTTAATTTTATAGGTGGAAAAAAAAGACAAAGCAGCAAAGGAAGTACAGGTCAAAAGGGGGTTATGTTTTGCCTTGTTTGGACTAAACTGGGTGATAGGGCCTGTTGAAGTGATGTTGGGAAAAGATTTCGTTGTTAAGGTTTAATTGAGTAACCAGAAGAAAATAGGTATAATTGATGTGGGTTTCTAGAAAGGTGAACAAATGTAGGCATCAAAGCTCAGCTGCAGAAATCAGCTTTAAATAGGAGAGAGCTCCTCCACCTTTCCTATAATAAATTAATTATAAAGCATATTGTTCTTCTGGTGTGGACACTTAGCACTTATTATACAGTACAGCACTATATACAGAGTAGCACGGACAGGGTGTCAGCCTTCTTCTCTGACAAGAATTTCGGAGGTAGAGCTAGTCAAAACTGATGGAAAGAAACACTAGATTGGGGGAGGAGAAGAAGGAAGGAGAACAATCACCACCCTTCAGTAGGAATGTTCCAATGAAGCCTTCTGAGCTCTACAGAGCACATTCCTATGAACTGGGAGAGGAGCTGGGAGGGGATGATTGTTGTGATATCTAATAAATAAATTCAGGAACTCACTTTATTGTCTGTGCCCCTCATTTATTAGAGGTGAACATACTTTTCTTCAGATATGCAATGAGGCTGAGTTCTTCTGAAAGGGTCCTACCCCACAGCCTTCTTTGCATTTGAAAGAAACAAAAAATCATGAACCGTGGATGTCAATAAGCCTAGGGTGGCAAAAGGAAAAGGAACTGAAGTCAAGTACCATAAAGAAGTGGTGCCCATTTGTGTAACCTGTGATTAAGGTGCTATTCATCATCCAAGATTAAAGGAAGAAGTTTATTACATTGAGTGGATAGATTCAAGAGAACTTCAACAATTGGAGCTACCAGTTACTTCCAAGGAAAGACAAAGAGGTGCATTTTATCACCACTATCACTACTTCATTCTTTTATCTGACAAGGAACACGGATCCACTGGAGCCACAAGCTCTAAGATTTGTGTTTGCTGCAATGATGTGTTCTTAGGTGAGCTTTATCAGTTGGCCTATATTCACTATTTACAAGTCCATGCTAACCACTGTTTATGTCTCTTCCATAGGTTATGTTTGGAAAGCCCTTCTGTGAAGAAATAAAATGTACCTGTTTTTACAATCGACACATGACAGACCAACAAACCTAAACACTGCAGCATCTTCACGTGTTAAAATTAAAATAGGTCTCTGGGAAAGTGAGTAGCTGATTATTTATTTAAATGAAATGTACTGTCAAGAATAATAATTTAAATAAAAATAAAAGGATTATCTTAAATTAATCCCCATTTCCCACCCACTCTGCCAAATATTTGTAAATGAACAGCACTGGAAATGTGACCTATGTTCCTGAGGAAGTTCTCAGAATAGTGTCAACATGATTTTTACAAGGAACTGATTTACTCCAGTTAAATGTGGCAGCCACAAAATTGAACTCCCTGTGGAAGTTGAGTCAGTACTACTGTGCAAAGTTCACATTGAGAATATTTAGAAAGTGGAATGATGGACTAGGGCATTCTCTGGCCATATTTACAAATTTAAGGTAGTGGTGTGTTTTACTAGCCAGATACCAAGATGACCTCCCATCAACGAGCTTTTCCTAGGAAAGCCAAAACTAAGGTGAAACCAGCGACCAAAGCTCTGATCA